TGTGCCCTTTAGGTGTAGAGGAGTGTTGAACGTCTTGTACCCTTAAATTGTATAGAATTGTTTCTCGGCGTACATTGCACCTCTGCTTTTCAACGGGGGGATATTTTGCACAGCTTGCAATGTCTCCTACTCTGTGATATTATTTCTGTGTGCAGATTTGGAATCGGTCACTCTTTAATATTTTCCAAGTGTAAATTATTATGCATCTCTCCCTCCTGCGCTATAGAGAATACAGATTTACAGATTTTAAAGTCTCAATAATGTTTTACTGACCAAATCCACAAAATAAAAGATCCTTACACGCTCTCCGTGTCAGCAATTTCCTTAGCTTTGAATGAGACTGTTATTGTGCAACAGTATTCCACCCTAGAGAGCATTAGTGTCTTAAAGTTGTCATCAGTGGTGTAACATATCATTGTTTGAAAGATTCTTGTTATCCACTCTGCCATTTTTCTTGCAGTTGCGACAGCTTTGTGTTCTTCAAAAGAAAGAACATCTGATTTTGTTTTATGCAATATCTTGACAACTAATTTGTGTATTGACTTGAAACTTGTGTAAAAGGGGCAAAATGAAGCAGTCGCTGAAACTGGCTGCTGTAGCTTCTGTTGGCCATCTTTTGAGCCGATTTACCCCTTTATTTGTAGGCTACTTGACCTTCAGCTATGTCGACAGCAAAAATGGATGGGTGTACAGTAGTTTCCATATACACAGCTAGATGCCAGAGAATGGTCCTTCCAGTACAGTATTGAAGTTTGGAAAGCTTAGTAAAAATGTTTTGTGATAGAACATTATTTTGTAACAATATTGTGGATGGAGTAAGGCAGTCACTTTGAAACTAGTCTATGAATTCCTCGAGTTATATCATAGTGTAACAAAACTGTATAATTGGAACTGGCTTTTCAAACCTTCAGAATAATGTAAAGCATGTACAAATATGATGTATTTAAATTTCGTAGTTTAATCTTCTTATTGTATTTTAATCTTTACTGTTTACTTATATTTGTTGTTATCACCATTGATTAAATTTTTTTAATTATATTATTATCACTATAGGCTTTATTATGTTGACCAAACCACACACACTAGACGTTTTGGTCCGTCCTGGACCATTCTCTATCGATTATGATTGATAGGATTTAATGTGATCGATTGTCGATAGATAGGTTTATTGATAGATTGACGTGATTGATAGGTTTTATTAGTTGCAAATGAAAATTATACAATTATCACAAAACTTAAACGTTGGGAGAGAATGTCAAATACATTGTCTCAAATACAGTTTGAGCCTTGTTAGGCCTCTATATTTCTTAATTTGAATACTGCATGTCAAACAGAGGATGCCTCTCCTGATCACCCTAATGCGATCGATCCACGTCTAGTTTGATTGTACTTCAGTGGTGGTTGAGTCTACGTAGTTCCATAAGTCTGGAACAGTCACTTAGACCCCATTCCCTGTGTGATTTGTGCTTGGATACCTCGTCTCCAATTGTCAATCATAACATACCTGAGAGCCAGCTCTCCAGGAGGGATTGAGTATTGAACCAAATTATAGTTTATACCTGGCCATGGCAGGGTAGTTGGTGGTGAAGTCTCCATCCCGTATTGTTTGATACAATACAGGCTGGAGACTTGGGTACAACGATGCACCTAAATCTGATTTTACGCGCATTTATGCAGTCGGCTGGGCATTTGTGATCTCGGAAATTAGCCAAGAAACGATATTTGGTTTCTACATGCGATAGTAAACTATTCCAGTAATTCAATCAGTTAGTGTTTCTAAGTGAAGATATTTACCACAAAAAATATATTTTGCTAAGTCTTCATGGTTTTCTAAATGAAGAACTAATGAATTAAGTTGCGTTTAATGTTTGTTTATTCATGGAGAAGAATGGGGCAGTATTAGATCAGAAACTAACATCAAGGGGAAAGATTCGTAAACTTTAACCGAGAGCGTAGGAGAAATAAAATTCACTGGGAGAATCTGACGTAAAATTCCTTGGCTCGTGGAAGGGGGAAAAAATGTGGAAATCCATTGGCTGAGGAGGCAGGATACAGAAACTTTTGGATTAGGGAGCTTGGTTTTGAAAACCATTTGACTAGGAGGAACATTTGTGTACCTTTTGAGTAAGGAAAACAGGATCCAGAGAGACCCCTTTTACTTTGGGGTCAAGAATTCAGAACTCTTTTTCACTTGAGATGCATAGGTTCTGGAATCTCTCTGGTTGGTGGATGGGGTGAAGAAGTTGACTTCATAAACGTTTTGATTTTGGAGAACCATTGTTGTTGATCTGAAAAGGAAAGAAAGAGGGAACTAAATAACAACCTCCCTTTCACCACGCTGAGTTTAACCAGCATCTTCCTCATATATCTGGGTGCGTGGCTTCTTGTTTTAGATTTAGATAGAACGAAATGTCCATTTAGCACGGGCTAGTCCGTAAGAGGAGTGTGGCATTTTCCTTTGTTATATGAAAAAACTTGTAGAATTTGTCACTGTAGGATGGAAGATGACCATCGAGTGTTAGAAGTTTCTTATTTCAAGGGGGGGGGGGGGTAGAAATAGCCTAAGCTACTCTATCCCTTTGTGATGTGTTTCTTTCTTGTCTCAATAAACATACTTGAACTTCTTATTTCAAGATGTAACTGTCATAATGTTACATTTTTTATTTACAAAAAAGATGCATAGGGTTTTGTATAATATTTTGAACATGTGTAATTAAACGATACATTTATATAAACGGTGAATAGCTGTAATTTAATTAAAATATATAAATTAATAAGTAGGTACAGTCTGTCTTGGAAAGCCTTTTATAGGCACAGTTTCGTAGAGAACCCAACAGACAGCAGCAACATCCACCATAGCAGTACAGTATTCTGATCTTGATACTGTATATATTCTTGGTTCAGTGCAAGCACACTAACTTCAAGTATCTAACGAACATAGTTTGCAGCAATTAATTAGTATTCCAAGTGGTGACTTGCATTTAATATTGTTTAATCCATTCATAATAATAATGATAATATTGTGTAATAATAATTTATTTGCATGACGGTACAATGGGTTGGTGAGATTACACAGGACTGGTATGTTTGCATTCATGCAACCCACTAACACACACAGCATTTCGGTCAGGTCTTTAATCTAACATATCGGGTAAGATGATAGTGTAAAAACAAAGTGAAATAAGACAAGTGCAAAATGTGATCATAAGCCCATATTCATACAACTGTTTTGACACACAGTTCACCTTTCAATTAAAGCTAAATCACGGGTACATTTCTGAGGATAACAAATAAGCTTGGAATAATAACCATATCCCCAGCTCTGGGTCACTAGTGTGCAATTCTTAAAATACTTAAATACTTCATAATTTTTTTAACAATTAAAAATATTTGCCAAATTAAAAAAAAAAATCCTTATGTTCATGCAGATGTACCTAAATGTGTTTATATAAAAAAAATGGGGGAGAATGTCATGTTATTCCATGGATAAACAGAATTTCAAATTGGATTCTGATATTGATATTCAGAGAGAACATAAAATAAGATTGAAAAAAATACAAATAATGGTCTGAAACTTAATATTTTGAATGAATATTTTTTTGGGGGGAACAATGGTGACACATGCTCTAAAATTCATTTAATTAATAATCATAATAAGGTTTATAATTTTATCTGGTAATAACCAGATGTAAATTCTTTTATAGATACAGTATTTATAAGCAAAATCCAATTTCCTTACATTTCTGTAGTGAAAAACTTTATATGATATAAGCTGGATTCGACTCATATTATTAACCCAAATACATCATATGACGTAAGCTGTCATTTAAGGGTTAGTAGAGTGTAAAGTACTGTATAGCAATGCAGTTCTTGGAACTACTGTTTGAGCAATGCAGGCTTGCTTGTACTTGTACTGTAATGCTTGTACATAATACTTGTACATACATATTGCTTGTACTGTACTGTAATCCATATGCCTATCAGCTCGGACTCTGTGAATTCTACAGTATTAGAGTACTGTATACCCCTTGCTACAAAATTTGTTTTTAATTTAGAATTTTAAAATATAAAAGAGCTAAATTTTGCAATCCATTGAAATTGCAGATTGTTAGAAATACTGTGATAAATATTACTATCATAATATCCATTTTATAAGAAATTAATTAACTAATTCATTGTCAGGGGGATAGGCAGCCAGTGTATATAAACATGTTAGGCTTATGTTGGGCTTCCCAAGGTTGAATTGCTGATCCTTCCCAGGATGCAACCCCACAACAAGCAAAGTAACTCCTGGGTACCTATTTAGTGCTCGGTGAACAGGTACATTAGGTGATAGGAAATATGCCCAACCATTTTTATCCTGGAATTTGAACTTTGAAATCTCGATTGCGAGTCGAGTACAAACCCGACTACTATCGGGACCCTACTGTTAGCACAGTTGGCTCATAACTGACTGGTCTTGGGTTTGATTACCGGTCAGGGAAAAACGCTTGACACGTTTCATTACACCTGATATGCGTGTTCAACTTGCAGTAAATACCTACTTGGGGGTTAATAAACTTGTGGGTTGCATCCTTGGAACTGGCCAATCATTGGCTAGGAGAGCTTCAATAAACCTGACAGGCTTTCTTATCCCTAGAAAAGAAATCCCATTTTTTGATTTTGTATGGATTGCTAGTCCCAGTGCAGCAACGGTGAAATGAAGCCACATAACATTAACATGGGCTTGATAGATATATGAATTCATTTAAATATTCCATAGCAGGGGTCCAGGGCAATAGTTTTCACAATCTTATTAAAATTACATTAAATTGTAATTTGTCAAAGCATACCGAGCATGTTATGTCATGTTGAACATGCTACAGTTTGCTTGACAATTTACTTAGACAACTTTTGTATGTATGTATTTTACACATGATATACAATATTACTGGTAAATTTTTGTGCCACTTTGATTATTTGTGCTGCATTTTAATTACTGTATTCTGTTTAATTTCCAGGGAGTGGTGGTAATGATAATGGAGGTGGGAATGGAATGTCTGGTATGCCAGGGATGCCTGGGATGCCAGGGATGCCAGGAATGTTCAGCATGCAAAGCATGGGAGGCGATGATATGATGCCCCACGATGCCCGACTGGCAGACGAATTCATGAAGCTCCAACAGGATTTCTTCAAGTGGCAGCAACAGCTGCTACAGAACCAACACGTGCTACATAGTCGAGTGGCACCCCTCGCCTCCAACCCTCCACAGCTGCAGAGTGTCGGGGTAAGTCACACGTTCTAATTTATTTGTACTTAATTGTGTTTTAACTCGGGAGCCCAGCTCATTATGAAAATAAACTGGTGTAATGCCTTCCCTCTAAACCAAAAGGTAAATTAATGTTTATCTGTGTATCCCACAGAAAATGTATTACTCTTGGTTTTATCAGTTTACTCTCTTGGTTTGGTCTGGGACTTTAAATGTGAAGTATGTGCCACAATTATGTATGAAAAGTTGACACTAGCATTAAGTGCAATGGGAAGCTACAACTTTGAGCAGATTTTTATGACTTTAAAAATGAGGTTGCCAAATGACATACTGCTTGAGTGGCCCTCCAATTCTTATATGGAGGTAGATGTGAACCTTGTGTGTTGGAGACCATCCAAGTCTAATATTAATATGTAGGTTAATGAGGTGTGCCCGAGGTACATGTGGAAGATATCTGATGTTAGACAGTTTATTTTACTTGTCATGTACATCAATAAAATCTTAAATGTATTGTATATCCAGCAAAGTCCTACATTATGTATAATGATTCAGGTATGTCTTAAACCTAACTTAATGAAAATAAAATATTGCAGTAAATGATCATTTTTGGTTTAATTGATTGTTAGTTAATTACAATGAGTTTGCACAATTTGGATAGATGACTAGGCTGATTCTGGAAGCTATAGGACCTACATTATTAAACAGTAGCTGACATGTTGGTAGCATCATACTGTAATTTGCACGATAAATTATGTGATGGTGGTGGTGATAATTTATTTCAATCAATATTAGAGAATGATATTAATAATGTGGTTAGTAAATAAAACTAATAGGTGGACAAATAACATAAAGGTGAATAAATTTTGATTCTAGTTAGATGCAAGATGTTCTCTACATATGTTTAGTTTTATTGCGTGGCATACATACATTAGCCAGAGAGTGAGGGTGAGTGTGTGAACCTTGCCATATTTGTTGTACGAGTTACTAAACTTAGAATGGTTATTTATACAGAAATATAAATTAATTGGCTGATATTTGACAAGGTGAAGATAATGATACATGTATTAATTATTTACTCTACATGTGTACATAGGATTGTTCTTTCAGCAATGATTGTAATTCTATATTAGTGTACATCAGATAATTTGTACATGTATAATTCTTAAAACTAGTGATTTTCTGCAGGTTTTACGTGACATAATGTCGCAGACACCAACTAGTGCTAATGGCGGACCAGAGCTCGTTGAGGCACGTAATCCTTCTGTAGAAAAAAAGGGGCCAGTGGAGCGAGTCATCAACATACAGTTTGAAGATGGTCCAAGAGAAACAGATGATTCTCAAGTATGTTTGGTTCTAAATCATTTTTTCCATACAGGTGCAAAGGATTTCTTAAATATAAATGGCATGCCTACCAAATGTATTAATATTGTATTTGAATTGCATTAAATTGTGTTACTGTACAGTACAATATGTGGGTTTCGGCAAAAGCATGTATGAGTCATGTTGGTTGACATTCATAGAGATGAGAGCTAGTCTTATATGGCTCTTAATCCACACCGGCAAAAGCAAAAGTGTTAGAACACTTAAAATTTGGATGTATGCACAGTAAAAGTCTGTGAGACCTTCAAATAACTAATTGATGTATTTTTTTTTATCTAACCAATCAATTTATTCAACATCCAAACACAATGTGGTGTGTGTCACAAACTATGTTGTGGTCTTGATGGGATGCTGTGCAAATAATATACAGTATTTGGATTGTACCTGGATGTTCAATGTGGGAGTTCTTTTACTCCCCTAGTCCAGGGCTAGGCTTGACGTGAGAGCTTGGTCCAACAGACTTTTTGCTTGGAGCAGCCCACACTGCAGTACAACCTGGTTGGCTCTGTACTTCTTGCAGAAAACTGTTCAGTTTTTTCTTGAAGACTCCCACTTTTGTTCCAGCAATATTTTTTATATTTGCTGGGAGGATATTGAACAACTGTGGGCCTCTGATGTTCATGCAGTGTTCTCTGATGGTCCATATGACTCCTCTACTCTTCACTGGCTCTATTTTGCATTTCCTTCCATAGTGTTCACTCCAATACATTGTTATTTTACTGTACAAATTATGGACCAGTATTTTCTATCTACAGTATACATATATTATTTAATACCCTCTCGTCTCCTTTCTAGAGAGTACGTTTTGAGAGCTTTAAGACAATCCCAATAATTTAGGTGCTTTATCGTGTATAAGCACTCCGAATATGTTCTCTCTATTCCCTCTATTTCAGCAATCTCTCCTGTTCTGATGAAGGAAGCGAGTATAAAGCAATACTTTAGACAGTACAGCACAAGTGATTTGAATAGTAGGAGCCATGTATTTTTGGGATCCCAGGATTTGAAGGTTCTCATAATCCATCTTATCATTTTTCTAGCTGATGATATATTTGCGTGTTTGTTCCCTAAACGTTAGGTCATCAATCATCATTATTCGCAGATCCTTTACTTGATGCTTACCTACTATGTGCAGGTGTTCCCTGAAGGCCACAGTATGTACTGGCAGTGTGTTTGGATGCTGGAAGAGATGGCTGTACTAGTTTTTAAAACTACTGTATTTCATATCTCAGAACTTGTTTTTAATGTGTTGCACTAATTAATTGTGAAATTATACAAATTTAATATACAGTATTCATCCTATAATTTATAAGTTTTATAACATAATTGTCTATTACTGAGTTGCCATTAACGAAGGTGGTATATACAGTATTTTGTAAAAAATAATTAATTTGTGTCTAGTAGCATATATTATTGCTTAGCAATCATTTTGCCCATCCATTAGTTAAGTGGCTGGCTTCAGTCACCACATAAGTTCTTTTTTTGGGCACACTGCAGCTCTACTTAATGTTGTTCTGCCCTGAAATTAATCACTACATTATCCTTCCAGTAACTGCAGGTTCCCATTCTGTTTTAATCACTCTCATTTACTCATTTAAATCAACCACTGCTTTCATGGGGACTTGTGAATTGGTTGAGGCAGTCCTCATCTTTTCCATAGATTTTTTTTCTGATTAATTTACATGACTCATAGCCTGACTCATACGTCAGGCTGCGAGCAGCCGCGTCTAACAGCCTGGTTGATCAGTCCAGCAACCAGGAGGCCTGGTCAACGACCGGGCCGCGGGGACACTAAGCCCCGGAAGCACCTCAAGGTAACCTCAAGGTAACATGTAAATGACAACTGCTTTGCATGTTTGTTAAATAAGGCAGATTGTAGAGTTTCCCTTTAATATGTCATATTTATGAAATGCATTTTTTCCTCAGGTACGCACCTCTATACCTCGCCTGAATCAGAATGTGCATAATATCACCACAAACATGGGCCAGCTATCAACTAATGATTTTGGAAGGCCCAGCAATGTACAACCAAGGAGGTAAGAGAAAAAAGTTATAATGGAATTTGATAAGCTTTACAAATGGTCATTTTATTAATTTCTATGTCCTATCGAAGCCTTGGCATTTAAATGTACCCAAAGGAGTGAACTGTGTTCATCTTAATCAGTGCATGAATTAATATTGTCTCCTCTCTTATCTTGATTTTGCTGGCCCTGGTAATTTTTTCAGAAATTATTGGCATTTGTAAGGAATCAAAGTGTCTAGGCATTATCCGTATCTTTTTTTTTAAGGGGGAAATTTAAGATATGTAGGTGATTGATGAATGTTCTGCAGATAGTAAGTCATAATAACTTGACTGAAAATTAGACACCTAACCCACACATCTAAAAATATAAGAAGTTAAGATGTTTTGGTGCATCCTGAACCATTATAAAGTCGTGCTAAGCAAAATGTGTTAGAGAAATTCAGTATATAGGGTAAAGCTGTAGGGTGATAGGTGAAAATGAAAGTATACCATAAGAGTTAATATGAATACAGAAAACTACAGAAGGCTTAATGGCAAAAAGAACAATATGAAAGACAGAAAGAGAGAGAGCAATATATACAGATAGCAATGTATACAGTGCTGTACTGCGGCCTACTGTATGAAGCAGAGGCACTTTTTTTTATATATAATATTTTTAATTATTATTTTCTTGCTACAGGTGGGGTGAGGAGCCTAGTGTAAGTGTTGGAGCATGGATGGAACGACCTCCTCAGTCTGTGGGAGTATACCAAGACCGTGACTATGTTACATCAGCTCCACGTTCACAATCTACTCAAGACCTCTCCTCTCCTCCACCTGTATCGGAGGAACGTCAAAGAACCCCTCCTCGCACTACATTCATAGGTCCTAGAGGTTACTCCCGTCCTGCAGACTCGGTCAAACCTGAAACTAGGCCATACCAATGGCCTCCACAACAGCAGCAGGATCAGGTTACTCAGCCACTACAGTATCAGTTTCTCCCACCTGATCAGCAACAACAGTTTGTTCAGTTTGTGCAACAGCAACAACCACAACAGCAGTGGCAACAGCAACAACCACAACAGCAGTGGCAACAGCAACAGCCAATGCAGCAACAGCAAGCACAACCACCACCACCAAAGCCTCAATTTGTACAGCAGCAACAGCAGCCACAGCAACAATCTTGGCAACAACCACAGCAGCCACAGCAACAACCACAGCAGCAACAGCAGCCACAACAACCACCACGGCAGCAGCAACAACAGCCAAAGCCGCAGATTGTACAGCCTCAGCAACAACAGCCAAAGCCGCAGATTGTACAGCCTCAGCAACAACAACCAAAGTTTGTACAGCCACAACCAGACAAGACTGCCTTTTGGCGAGAACTAGAAGAAAAACGTCAAGATTTGGGTATGCAGAATGATCAGGAAGTGTCTGAACCCACCCGACCTCCTCGCCGAAATTCCCGTCAAGATTCTCCTCCACAGGTGAGATCATTGTATACTATATACTGTACATAGTTCTATTACACTGTAATTTTTTTTTTTGTTTTCTGGATAGTCGGTGAAATTTTCTGATTGCTTATGCCTCCAAAGCATATAAAATGGCTATTATTCGCTACCAGTTTTTGTTTTTTATCTTTGCCTAAAACAGCTTAGGGAAGATGTCTTGAAGGTACCGGAAGGCTGCCAACAATGTTTAACAGCTGTAGATAAAGATTTGGGAGTCTTTAAGTACTCTCAAGATGTCTTTTCTAAACTGTCTTGGGCAAAGCAAAGTTTGAGGAGAATGGTCACGTACAGACATGCAAAGAGAGACACTGGGGACTTGGGAGGATGTTTGTATGGGCAGGTGTTTGTAAAATGAATGTTTGTATAATGAGGACTCTTTGCCAGAGTAACACACATTAATTTTTACTCTTATTTTGGTGATGCAATTTTTTTTTTATTGCATGCAACCTTTAAATATCAGAGAACAATAATAATCTATGCTATGTTTTTAAAGATAAAAGTATATATTTTACTAAAGTCAAACCTATATTTTCATTCTAGGACCCTGAGGTAACAAGGCCTTTAACATATTTTGGTCAGCAGGCAGTTGTGCATGAACCTCCACCGCCATACTATTATAATGGAGATAACAGCTCAGTTCCTCCAAAGATAGCAAACGCTGCTTCAGTAACAATACCAAAGGAAGTGGAACCCGAGGTTGGAGGACCACGTTATACTTCTGTAGTAACACTATCGGACAAAAATGAGCAACCCGCTGGGGCACCTCCAGTGAAGGACAAAGTGAGGTCAGTAGTTCAACTTAACAATGATCAGAGGGGGCAGCCACGAACGGCTCCGGTAGTTCGAGGATTTAGACAACCAGGAGAAGAACCACCAAATCAAGGAGGCACAATCCATAGCAGAATTGTATCAAATGCATTGAAGAGTTCACAGCCTTCACAACCACAGGCCCGTTCATCTGTCTCTCCTCCTTCTGTGAATGGTTCTGTACCAACTGCTTTGTCAACTCAAGGACCAGAGGCACCTACATCTGCAAGGCTAGTTGCTGCTGTTCCAAAAGCCCCTCTACCATCTCAAGGTGTTACCCGTATCTCACCACCTCGTACATCACCATCTCGTATTTCACCCCCACGCACCTCGCCTGTTCGCACCTCGCCTACACACACCCCACCTTCCCGTGTCAGTCCACCTTCTGGCCCAGCATTTCCTATTGTGCAACTTCGACCTGTACCAGCTGGCTTGAGAGCTACAACACCCCCAGAATCCTCAAGCACTGCTCCACCACAACTGCCAGCTAGTGCTGCTGCTATTTCTTCAGCACCAGGAAATCAATTTAGCAGTGTGCCTCCACCACCACCTCCAGCACCCCCTATGGCCCCACCACCACCACCTCCAGCACCAAAAGCAATGAGTGAAGAAAGACGTACTGCATCGGGAAAGAAAATAATTTCGTCAAAAACCGGACCAGAATTGGATGCTCGTGAAGAACTCATGATGGCCATCAAGAATCATGGAGGTATGAAATCACTTCGGAGAACACGTATATAAGTGTGTTTTCATAATTGAGATTAAATGCAAAACATAATGGTGAGTAATCCAAATTTTGTATTGGTCATGATGTAAAACAGAAAAGACTAATGTGATTAAATAGCTACTAACCCTCAGTGAAAAAGAAAACAGGTAGCATCCTTGATACAGTACCTTGAGTACTTGAGAAGTGCTGTATGGTATATTGGTTTTCAGTTATGATTTAAAAGGCATTTTTTGCCTTTTGGAATGAGTTTCTGGTATATTCTCCATATTGGACATTGTAACTATGTATTTTGTAGTTTCTGTAGACCCTTACTTCATTGATGCTCTGGTTCAGTGCTGAACTTTGTATAGTCTTGTACAGTATATTATATCAGTTTTGTAGATACAATATTTTGAAGGTATTATATTACAATATCTTGCTAAATGAATATATGAAAAACATATGTTAAACTCAACCATTTAGAATGTTTATTTTTGAATTAGCACTTGTAATAGTGCTTCTGAGTTAATACTTGTAATGATACTCAGTTATATTATTGGTGCTGCTGTATGTAGATTTTTATACAGTACATTGTTTCAGTGATATTTAAAGGAGATTTTGTTAGTTTTAATAAAATCAGGCCATTATAGCCTTGGAACATAAGTAATTATAATAAAGGTTTTCATGAGTGCATAACCATTTTGATTACTTTTATTTCTAAGCTTTTCATTTAAGGTTACATATTTCTTTCATATAAGTATCAGAGCAGTATTTGAATTCATGTACAGCCATCTTCGAAAATCTGTCGTTCTTAGCTTTATCCTTACAATACTGAGTGAATCAAATATAGTTTCTCCAGTGGTATCTTGTCAGTCATAAGGACAGAACTGTTCTTGTGACAAGACAATTGTTTTTGGCCAATTAATGTATGTTATGCTTTACATTGTTTTCTGTTATTATTTTGTTTACACTTCAATATACACATTTCTGTTGCTATGTACATAATGTAGAAGTATATTTTCTCCAATAAATTTTATTGGAATCATCATCTCTTATTTGTATCTTTATATATCAAAAAATATTTGTGGAGAGTATTTAGCATCAAATATTTTTTTATCTTCATTACCCAGTTCCTCGCATTCATGAGTTGGGGAGACCCAGCAGGAAAATTTGAATTAGTTATACAGGAGAACTAGTACAACAACACACTACCAAAATCTTCATAGATTTCTCTTCACTGCTGCTGTCACTGTTGTTTACACAATTACCACATTTTGTTTCTAGGTTGACCCTCTGGTGCATTGGCTATGATGGTACAGTACACACATTCATAAAACTTCCAGGTCTCTGGACATGCCCAACACCCAGACCAGAGTCCAGTGGTGGATAAAGCACTGGTAACAGCAAGTGCATCCATCTAGCCTCTTGGGTGGATGGAGGCTGGATGGATGGAACACACATGGATACTCAGAAGGTAACACAAACTAAAAGGTCCTACATGGGGTATAACTAAGTTTACTCCCCCAGACCTCACAGTAGAACAGCAAACAATGACAAGGAACTGAGAATAACTAGAGTAGTTAAGAAACACAGACTGATACAGAGTTTCATAACTAAAGATCAGGTTATCATAACAGTGGATGGAGGACATAGTCCTTCACCCAGCCAGACAGACCTAACCTTGTATGTCTATGCACACAAGAGTAATCACACTAACGTAATGTATCAATTCCTGATGTATCGGAAAACCCAAGTGTGTTCAGTAGAACTCCAGGTTGCAATCCTTTTACCATGTCCTGGCCTGGTTGTCTGGGGCGTGTGCGTGGAATTATACCCACTGCATAGCTTCGAATCCTCATCATAGCTCCTATAGATTTTCTCTTATGTCTATAATGACAAGCAGGTACAAAAAGTGGGCAACATACAGAATAATAGTGTGCAGAACACAGGAACAATCCCTCGGCACCCTAGGGGCAATGCTAGTTTAAATTGCTTCTACACAAATGCCAGAATCCTAGTAAATATTTTTGAGGCATTGTGTGCATCACCGAGGCTGAAATGATATCAACGCATCAAAGAAACATAAAGTTCAAGTATGTTTATTGAGATAAGACAGAAATACATCTCAAAGGGATAGCGTAGCTTAGGCTATTTCTAACCCCCCCCCCCCCCCGTTAAAGAAACACTAGGGACGAGAAGGTATAATTGAAGGGGAATTGTATCTTCCAGGATAGCATCCACCTTTTAGAAAGGACAACAACAAAAGCAAGTGGTGTGGAGCTATATTGAAAAGTCTTAAATGCAACCAATAATGAGGAATTAAACAGGAAGGAATCATCAGTCTGTATGGTACAACATACAAGTTCACAATGGCAGCCAAGTGACACTTGGGAGTATGGTAGAACACCAACAGAGGGACCTTACTCGTCTGCATCATGTCATAAACTCTTATAATGGTGGACTTTAGCCACACAACAATGGGTTGCGTGGTTATCTTGAGATGATTTCGGGGCTTTAGTGTCCCCGCGGCCCGGTCCTCGACCAGACCTCCACCCCCAGGAAGCAGCCCGTGACAGCTGACTAACACCCAGGTACCTATTTTACTGCTAGGTAACAGGGGCATAGGGTGAAAGAAACTCTGCCCATTGTTTCACGCCGGCGCCCGGGATCGAACCCGGGACCACAGGATCACAAGTCCAGTGTGCTGTCCGCTCGGCCGACCGGCTCATCTAAGGTGAATCTAAGAATTTTGTTGAACAATTACTATGTCTGTACAAGGCCCCAGCGGCAGCCTCGACCCCATGGCCGCTCACCATCACTGTCAAATGAACTACTGTCGACTTCATTAATAGCAATCTAAAATTGTCTATGAATAAAACACACGAGTAGCTCCTTAAGAATTACTCGGGGTATAATATTGCGGCTTGTATTATCAATAAACAAACCTTTAATTTGCAAATACTCATTGATTAATATAAGGGTTCTCGGGAGAGCAGGAGACCCTCAGCCCCATGACACGACCTTACAGACGGACGCCGCCGGTGTTGGTTCCTGTTATATGTTCCTGGAGGCCGAGGTAGGTCGTCATCCCGCCTCCCACATTAACAAACTAATAAGTAACATCCTGTATCTGCGCACGTTGGTTTTGGGCCCAATTTACTATTGCGTATAGGTATGAAAGGGGGTTGACCGAGCAGTTATGAGCATGGAAACTATAAGAGTGTACAGTTAGCATATTAGAGTCTGCAAGCCGAAGCTGTGAATAAGTGCTAGATAATTATTGACTCTGTGGGAATTCAATACCAATATTACCGGCAGGAGTGGTGTTGGCGACGTATGTCTCATTTCGTGGAGGTTGAGGCCGGTCAGAGCGGCCATGTTGGAGTGCCACGAGGCCACTCCTAGCCTCATCCTCTTTTTATAATTACTAACCATATCATTCATATAAATAATAATATTGTTCAGCCGTGTTTGAAGATGAGTCAATTTTTTTTTATAAGACCCAGTTCTGGTCTGGGTTCATTTGACAAGTGTTGCCGAGATCAACTTAAGTGTTGTCTTGGGTATTGCATCTGTTCGTGCACAATTTAGTCAAATCAACACAACATGATTTCGTTAAAAATAAATCCTACCATACAAACTTGCTCACATTTTTGGAAACTGTAACCAGCTTTTCAGACAAAAGACTTGAAGTAGATTTAATATACTTGGTCGTCTCTAAGCTTTTGATAAGATACCACATGAAAGACTGGCACACATTACAAGCATATGGTGTAAATGGCAGAGTAACTGAATCGACAAGTCAGTAGTTAATATAAAGGAAGAAAAGGGTCGTGCTAAATGGAAATGAATTTGACTTGAAAAATGTGATGAGTGGGGTACCACAAGTTTCTTCCATCTTGGGGTCAACCCCTTTTGTCCTGGAGCGGTGAAGGAGATAATATTCAGTTGTCTCTGGAACACGACAGTGGGTACAAAGTTAATTTATATCTGTCCTGTATTTGTAGCCATGTGCCGTTAGTTTGGTGCGTCCCAGCCTTAGTCTGGTCATTGTTATATCTATCTCTATTGCCAGGAACGAAAAATATCGTTCATGACACCATAAACGAGCATTGAACGCTCCATGTAAAGTTATATCACACCTTACTTTTATGGTGTGCAGTTTCCTTGTGACAGTGTACAGAAGCCTATCAACCTTGGTAAAGTGATAACATCGCAAGCCCTTGCATGCTTGTCATATAAATATTCCTGCATCATCTTGTTTCTTAGCGGATAAACCTAAATGGAGAATTTTAAACCAACAATATCATCCCATAAAGGAATTCATATTGAACACGACTAGTCTGCCTCAATACGTGACCAGTGGATGTTGACATTCGAACGATTATGTCGCTAGTTACACCACACTGTGTCTTCAAAATTAATAATATGTATTGATACTAATGTTAATAATATATTTAAAGACACAAGAAAACGGGTCATTTAAGGGGGTAGAAAAACACACATGTATGTAAATAGACACTCTAATCTATACATCAATAAATACATAAATAACACTAGTGTGATACAACCTACACGAGAAGTGATGCCTGGAGCCTAGGAGAGGACTCCGAGCACGGCGGCAGTAGCCTAATAATGCACGTTATCCCAGACGAATCGGTGGCCACCTGCGCATGCACACGTAACACCTACTCTCACGGAGCTCTCACATAACTACACCTCAACACACACTCTCTCGGAGATCTCACACATCTACACCGCAACACTTACTCTCACAATGATCTCAGACATTTACAACTACTCAGTGTTCACACAACTTATTCTCCCCGTAGTGAAGTCATAACAGTAGTATATTGGCAGGGACACCAGTACCACCTTGGAGGGTTATAGTCGATTCCCTGTACCCTTTTCATAACTGTACCTTTCTCAGAACTGTACCTCTCACAAATGTATCTCGTAACTGTACTCCTCTCAATTGTACCTCACAATTTTACCTCTCACAATTGTACTTCACAACTACACCTCTTACAGCTGTACCTCTCACAAATCTACTTCTCACAATTGTACCTCTGAAAACAACCCAAGCGACCAACACGCTAATGACTAGATACATTCACCTCACCACTGCAAATACATAATATAAATATAGTTCAGTGCGTATACCTATATCTACACCATTTAAATATTTATATTTTTACACAAGCCTCATAAGCTATGTATGACAGCGATTCAATAAGCATTTAAGTTATCAGTTCGTGTTGCATATTGTTCGCTCTGTGTGGTCATAATCTGTTATTCAACGGTATTTTTTTAAAATGAATTAATATATTTGAACCGAAGCAATACGCACACAACGCCCCGTGGTACGGTACGTAACTGGGTTGTCGTCTGAGGTTAGTACTCTTGCTGGTCCTAGCTGTGTCTGTCCCTGACGTTGATGGTGTCAGTTCTACCTCGAAATTATTGCCTGCTCCGCGCTAATCTTTGCTTATTCTCTTAATTATCCTCTTGGTAACCTGACGTATGTCCTCAGCGGGTCAGAAAGTCCACGGTGATGCCCATGGCTACTGTGAGGCCGACCGTGATGTCCGTAGCTACTGAGACCGACTGTGATACTCATAGCTGATGCGCAAGGCCGTGACTTCTGGTGAGGTTGCCATTCTTGACTTGGAACCATCAGTTCCACATTGTCATCGTTCTCTTTGGTAGCTGCCGGTCGTCATTTGTTTCTGGTTTCATTGAGTGGCATGTGCAAACGGGCGGGAACGAGACTGTAAGCAATGTATTGGCTGTTTAACTATTGATAACATGTTATCTATAAGTCAGTTGCTTGGCCTCTAAAAAAGAGCTGATTGCGTTATTTAGCAAATTCGACACGGATATACAACTGGTGTGTGTTCCAGTCAATGAATACAGGGGTCAGAGTAACACAAGAGTTGAACTACTTCTCGTTCATGTTGCCTCCCAGTTGACAGCTACATGAACGATGGTATGTGTTATGACACCAATGTCACAAGACTATGTGTACGGCTCCTGTAGTGGTTTGACAATTGACAGGAAAATTACAGAATCATTGTGCTGTAGTTTTCGTACGTATGACCATCGGTTGACAATATTTTTCCCATCGAGAATTTTCATTAAGAAATGAACTGATTGCCTCCTTAAGCTCAACATGAACAGATTACTTTCTTAACGCTCATCTTGTTTATACCGTGACAATTATGCTCAACCAAAGCCACTTCTGTTCTGTAACGGATAAAAAACTTTATGTGGATGGAAACATATTTTGTGCTTTACAACGACCTTAAGACTGCTTACAATACTGACATTTGAATCAAATGAGTTGGTCGCCATGACACTCAACAATTTGTTGAGTGCCAAAGTTGTTGCCCCGAATAAATTGATTCAGTTGGTGGGTCATGCAGGGTTTCCTAATGTCCGGAAGTGTACAGTGACGTTATATATTCTATAGTTATAAGGCTATATATGTAGTACAGTGTATAAATTATTATTCCATATAAATAATCTTACTGTTCTCGCAAGCAAAGATTTGAACCATCATATAATAAATGAAGCACCCCGTATTGTACTCATTATTGTTTACTATTTTGACACACACACACACATATATATAACATATATCTTTGTGAATCCTACAAGTAAAGAATACATACAGTTAAGGTGTAACTATTTTTCCAAATTTTAGGTAATGAAATAGGTATCAACATTTTATTAATTTAACATTTATGAACATTTATAAATGAAAGGAAGTATTGAAATGTTTATATTTGTTTTTAGTTGTATAAATATTCTTAACACGTTTTAAATTAAGAAACTTACATAATAATTAAGTTTAAAATTGTTAAAGAATTGTGGAGTTTAGTGAACCAATTACTTCTTGCAAGGGTCAATACACTACAACGGGTCTACAGTGTACGCATTAAAACAATGCCCGACCGTTTTGTCTTCATCTGGCATAGGTACCCATAGTTATGTAGGCTGGTGGTGTCTGCAGTCGAGTAAGCAGTCTATATTGAATCATTAAGGTCGGTGGTTGTGATACTACATTCTGCTATGTCGAATATGAAGCTGTTAATTTAAAATTTCAGCCCAATAACATATGTCTAATTAAATGATTTGGAGAAGGGATGAAGCATAGATGATATTTCTTAACCTAAACATCAGATAACAACCATGTAAAGGGCCTCTACAAGAGGGCTCATAACTTGTTTGCATTGCAAACTTATTAAGTCTAGATAAAATACACGATTCGGTCGACAATTCGCGCCTACGTATAGCTGATTGATTAGTTTACACCAAATTTTCGCCAAATGCCTTGCATAATAGCAAGTTCTGTATATAAGAATTTACCGATCCATTGAAACAAATGGTAAGTTACTTTTACAGATCTTATATAGTGACTAGCAGAGCACTCATCCTGGATTCTGTCTCTCTACGCAAAGTTTGTATAGCTGAGCAAAATCACGAACACACAAACAGTCATCAGCAAAATTAAAAACACAAAAGCGTAGTTCAATTCAAAATTAAACAAATTGACCTTATGTAACTCACAATTAAATAATCTTTCTTTAGCTTAAAGTCTCGTCGAAAACACGAATTCCCTACATTCAACTTTTTTTTTTTTACATTAAATGTGAAATTTAGGTATGCACCCTTTTTAATTTTGTAACTTTTGATCAGAAATTTCACACATACAGCTTCACAGAAAGAAAACGTTTCTCAAAACAACAGAAGTCTTACTTACTGCTACGGCAAGCTGACATGACTGAAACATGAGAAGAGAGTGAAATTAAAGGAAAACGGAAACAAAAGTACATAATATGCATGGCTAGGTTAAGTTTCGTACAGATCTTGTTGGTCAAAATACATGAAAAGATATGATATATAACCAACAAACCCCCTCATTACGAATACCGCTATCTGGAGCTCACGTATATTGGTCATTAGGCTTTCTGCAGTTTTCTTGTTCTTATGTTCATGAAACAGATCTTATATACAAAGACATCGTTTTTTCACCTCATATGCCTGTACATCTCCCTACACAAAATTGCGTTGTTTACACTTCTGATGATGTGCTGTTAACATCAAAGTGCTTACGTTATTTCTTTTTTAATTTCCCTTTGTGGTTAAATATTGTCACATTATTTATCACGTTAATTTCTTCGTGATTTACACACACGTGTGTGTATGTATGTATGTAATATATATATATCGAAGGAATGATAAATAATCACTGATCACATTCATGCAGAATAAGCCAAATTTGAAAGGTGAAATATTTCTAAAACGTATTCGACCCACCTGTATATATATAATGACAATTCTATAAAGATAATGTGATTTACAAATGAACTTCTATGTTACGCAAGGACAACTAGCACTATAGAGCCTGTTAACCTTGATTTGCCTATATATATTTGGATTTTGACCAACAAAACCACTATATCTTTGTAGTATTCTGAAATATTTTGTCTTGTTTATGCAGCTTTCATCTTCTGGATTAATAAGGCCGTTACCTAGAGAAAATGTGCACCGAGAACCAGCTTCAAACTGGATGACCTGTAATATTAACAAATCGTTTATAATTTCGACAAAAACTTAAGAAATACATGGCACACCTGAACTTCACATTTATCGTGCTTTACTACTGACTCACTTAATACTAGTCTTTGGTGGAGGTAGAGATTACTCTGTCTACTGGAAAGCGCCAATCAGCAGGTTACTATCAGAGCTTGTTTACTCTGATGTAAAGTCCACCTACCACAGACATGCAGGCTACCAGGGTTAAAGCAATCCCATCTTATGATTTCATTGTATGTGCATTGTGGGTTACGACCACTAAAGAGGCTTAGGATGGTTGACTGATACTTTGGGTGGCATTCTTGAATTGAGATTCAAACAAATTTCAACTTTGTAATATGCAAAAGGTCTTTTGCACTAGTTTTTGCACAGTTAACGCTTGTGGCAAAAAATTGGTGAAATATTCATATACTTTAAGGAATGTTTATGTACTGCAAATGTGCTAATCGTATCAGGCACAGATAGTATGGGTCGATGGTTGTTTATCAGGAACGGTGGCCTCAAGAAAATGATTGTCTAGAAGCGTGTGAAATGGGTGGGTGTCACAGTGGCAGTGGGGCCGGGGGTGGCACCGTCTCCCCTTGGGCCTGGTTGTGGAGAGGAGGGTTGGCGGTGGCGCAACGAAGGGGCACCTCCAGCAGAAGGTAGCTTAGCAACAACTGTGGTAGAGGTAATTGAGGGCCCAGAGTGAGGGCCTGGACCAGTGGCCTCACGTCTGTTTTATGCTGGACCCGTAGCGTGGCGTAAATGAACGTTCTACACTGTCGTTTGAGTGGTGGTGGCGTCTTGCTCTCCTCCGTCAGCCACTCTAGTATATCTGCGTCCTCCTGCCAAGTCCGGGGGAGGTGAGGCGGTGCCAGCCACTCATACTCTCGCAGGGGCGCCCCAGCTTCAACTAGTAACCTGACAAGAACATGTTTATAGTTTCAATATTTCAAATGTTTAGTTTAGTTCATTTATTATGCACCCCATACCCATCTTGTGGGCGGTAGTGGAAAGGGTTACAGAGGCACATAATGGGCTCAGGGACTGAACCCCACAATTCATTTAGCTAAGCAAGTTACAATCTTGATGAGCTAGTTACAAAATTCAATATAAGTATTTTTATAATACCAATAGCTCAACGGAAAACAGATTAAATGGCTCCCATCACAAGAAACATTTGGTATATATATGATTGTGGATATAAACTCAAATGCCTTACCTGAAGAACTCGAAATCGACATGCTTCATGGCCCAGTAGAGAGGGGAGTGGCCCTTGTAGTCCTCGAGAGTGAGTGGCACACCAGCCGCCACCAGCTCCAGTGCCATCTCCCGCCGACCCTGTGTTTGTTAATTAGTTTATTATAGAGCTCATATCCATCCCGTGGACGCAGGCAGAAAGGTTAGTCACATAACGACTGTAATCTTTCCCCTATGATGACAGACAATAAAATTTTGCTTCACTGGCATAATTATCTCATACATATTACAAATTTATTAGATAATAATAATACTCTTATATTCCAGTTTTTAAATAAGATATGTAATTAAAATACGAATTGTAAATATCAGCTGTCATAAATTTAGCCCATCATCTTTAAATGAAAGAACTTATAATCACGATGTGGTCGACAGTACAAATATGTCGTGATGGATGACCAAACCACACACCATAAAATGAAGAAACGACGTTTCGGTCGACGTTTCGGTCGGTTTGATAATGGTCAGGACGAACTGAAACATCGTTTCTTCATTTTCTAATATGTGGTTTGGTCATCATATCTTCAGCGACGTTATTGTGACTCATCGTGTGCATGTCGTGATGGACCACCAGAAAGTTGACTTCTGTATTATTGAATCTGGGCAAACCGGAAAATATTTTCTATATGTTGCTAATAAGACCTAACCTAGCCTAACCATCCTTGGACTAATCCACGCTGTCTGAGGCCTGATATAGTACATAGATGTGCTATACTAGGCCTAGAAATATATATATGTATATATTTGGTTTAGCTTTATTTTTCCTGACTATAAAAAAAATTAAAAAGTGGCTTACTGGGGCTCCATTACTACACATTGGAACGATCGACCACATAGTTGTAAAAAAGCACCATCATTTCAGGATGATGGGTTGCATAAACAATATATTTCACTCACCATTTAAACCAGAGTCTATTAGAGATCGTGAAACTTACCCTATAACCCAAGAATTGCATTGCGATGTTGAGGGGGTTTTCTGCAGCACGAGTGAAATCTATTGGCGCTCCATTCTTAAGCAGGATCCTAACGAAGCCTAATCGTTGTTCTTTCACGGCAAACCACAGAGGCGTTTGATTGTAGAAGTCTCGCAAGTCGAGGCGAGCTCCGCGTCTCACTAATTCCTGGAAGATCTCCCGGTGGCCAAGTCTGTGAGAATGTGTAACAACCAAGTCTGAGAGTGTGTAACAACCAAGTCAGTGAGAGTGTGTAACAACAAAGTCTGTGAGAGAGTGCGACAACCAAGTCTGAGTATGCGACAACCACGTCTGTGAGAGTGCAACAACCAAGTATGTGAGTGTGCGACAACCAAGTCTGTGAGAGTGCGACAACCAAGTCTGTGAGAGTGCGACAACCAAGTCTGTGAGAGTGTGCAACAACCAAGTCTATGAGGGTGTGTAACAGCCGAGTGTGTGACAACCAAGTCTGTAGGGAGGCCTGGTCGGGGACCGGGCAGCGGGGACGTTGAGCCCCGAAATCATCGCAAGGTAAAGTAGGAGTGTGTGTAACAAACAAGTTTGTGAGTGGGGTGTAGCAACCTATCTGTGAGAGTGTAACAACATATGTGGCATAAAGTGCATTCAATTATTGACGCCATATATATCTGAAAATCAAAATTTTTAAAATCGTACTTTTTAATTCTTAAGGAAAAAACAAATTACGAATTCTTAAAAGAGAAATTCCAAGATAAGGTTCCAAAGCACCGAGGAAGACTGAACAAGTTATGAAGAAAACACAGAACCTCTGTTTACTCAAAAAGTTGCTGTTAAAACATCCTTAGGAATAACCAACCCGTTCTTTCGATCTGAATATATAAATAATGAAACCATGTAAGATTATATATCTGGAATGAAGTGATATGAAAGTTATTTATCAACAAGTTAGGTACCTATAAAAAAAACATAGTCTCTGTTATGCACAGTCTAAAATCATACCTGATGGCAGATATGATAGGCGTTTCAAGGCGTTCCAGATGATCTTTGCTACGCCTGTCAAGTGGCGCCCCCGCCTGTGCCAGGACCCTGAGGGCATGAAGGTCGCCTCGGTACACGGCCAGGGAGAGGGCTGTGGTGCCCCGCACAGGACATCCCATGTCCAGCCCACTCTCCGCCAGCCTCACCATCTCATCCATGTCCCCGGTCACTATCGCCTGCGGTACATCAATTGGGTTGGGTTTAATTATCCACTCCATATCCGTGGTATCAGCTGAGGCAAACGTGTAAATGAGGAATTATTCGCATGTGCAATGGGTGAGGACAATTTACATTTGGAAGCACCACTCACATGGTTTATATAATAGACATTTAAGAAGTTGGCATAGAAGAATAACTTTCAGTAAAGGCTTGACTCAAGCCAGAGCACACAGTTGCAGTGCATGCTTTATTTTTAGGAGTGATATGTATTATTTTGTCAGGTCCTTGCATTTTATAATTATTATTAAATAATAATTCATCATTATATAGTGTTTTTGTGATGTATGGTACAGCTGTCAAATTTACACTGGTGCAGCATGACTGGTGGGGGGAGGGGGCGCCTGACAGCTGGGTGGACAGCACTTCGGATTCGTAGTCATGAGATTCCGGGTTCGATCCCCGGTGGAGGCGGAGACAAATGGGCAAAATGTTTCTTTCACCCTGATGCCCCTATTACCTAGCAGTAAATAGGTACCTGGGCTGTACTCATTTACAGCCCAGGTACATATATATATATATATATATATATATATATATATATATATATATATATATATATATATATATATATATATATATACGGGCTAAAATAAGTCCGTACCCATTATTGTATTGATTACACTTCATGTACTCATTACACTTCATGTACTCATTACACTTCATGTACGCATTACACTCCTTACTCATTACACTCCTTGTACTCGTTACACTGTACTCAATACACTCCAATATACACGCCCCCTTGTAATCAAGACATATATTTTACTATCATTGTCAGTTATTAACAAAAATAGTAATACGGGTTCACTAATTAAAAGTCTCACCTGATGGAGGTCAAGGATGTGGGGCGTCCTACCCATCCTGGGGGAGGCCGTGCCCAGCACCCCACTGGAGGCCACGTTGCATGAGGTGAGCATGGAGGGAGTGAGGCGAGGGCCGATGGGGGCACGGTGGGCAAGATGCCCTCGTCATGGGGCCGATACAACGCGCATGCGTGGTGACCAACCACTTGCCCCAGGTTGTCCACGTTAAATGTGCGGGATTTCAGTGATAACTTTTCTCCTGACTGTCAACACTTGTAACTCAGGGTCACTTCGAGGGTTATTTAAGAGCGCCTGAAATAATTTGCTAGCCTTACGGGCTACTCGTGCCCGTGCCACCTCTTAGGTGGCTTAATCTTCATCAATCAATGTGCTTGCAACAAAGAACATAATTCATCGAATATAACTCCGAATGTTTGTTAAAATTATAATACGTTTCAATGTCAGAAGGCAGAGAACCTCGCTCACTTCCAGTGCAATTTTTCATTCTGATCTCTTGGCAGTTCCATCAAGATTGGGGCCATTTCTCGTTCTTCCATGCTCTCAGCGAGTCAGTATTCTAATTCAGCATTGAATATTTCTTTCTAAGGACGTTTGGATAACTGGAGGAGTGAAGGTCTCTGGGCGTCTCGCATGGCCGACTCTCCGGATGTCAACAGCGACTTCACCAATCTGTCGAGGTAAACCTTTATAACAGTAATGTTTACATTCATACACGTATCGGTATGGAACCGAAGCTTAAAAGAGTAGAAAGGAAACGAGCCAGAGGAGACCTGATCTTAATATTCAAAGTAATCAGGTATTGGCAAAGAGGACTTAAGGTCTAGTGCAGCGCTGAACCTCAGACAACAAATTCAGTAAACATACAAAAATATAAATGTGAACTGGTTTAGCAATTTTTATACCTCGCCTAAACCTTTTTCCCAACTTAAAATTATTAATATAGAGCTCTTTATATTGATCAACACCAGTGCCGTATTCCCAGGATAACTAAATTTGTCATTTTTGAAAAGCTGGATTTCTCGATGTTTAATGACTGTCGGACGGTTATTAAGGATGTAGGACAGCTTCACCACGCTCGTTGAACTACACCTCTTGACTGCTTATTCAGCTTGTGTTGTAAAACACGAGGTTAACCTTGCTTTACACCTAATGTTATCTATTGCAAATTGATGCGTATTGAAGTTGCCTTGAACTGTTTTTGTTCCTCGTCCCAGCTTTCTATTTCTGTATTGGCTGTAAACTGAATGAAAAAAATATGTAAATGTGTTAAATGTATTTAACCGTAAGGGGATTACAGTTAAGGATAAAGGCTATTTATAGAGGAGAAAATGTGCACCTTTACCTGTTGGGTCGGTCATCTGATCCAGTCACAGTAGCGGAGTTGAGGGAAGGCAGACCGGAACACCCCGTTATTACAACACTGGGGCCACTAGCGCGCACCATTCACACATTCCTACATCTTATCACTACCACCCTTAAACACTTAAGGAAACTTATCACATTGAAACAAAAATAAAACATTACTTTTATGGTTTCCTGCAACACAACATTAAGTGACAGTTGCCGCGCATCGCATGACCATTTTATCACACCAGCTGTTACAGTTTCTCAACAGGAGTTAATTGGTTCTAATTTACGGATGAGTTGTACGAGGGGAGGAGTGCCCGTCTCCATGAGGGCCAGGTGTGTGAACCACTGTGGTGGGGAGTCGAGGGGACACTGGAAGCCTCACGTGCTGCCCTAGGATACACTAGTTGCCGGACGCCTCTGCCCGCGCCATTATCACGTCTGCTCTCCCGGAAAGTCGGGCTGTCAATGGCCTTCGAATGACTCGGTACATTACCAACTGGTGGGTAGTGTAGGGCGCTAGCGGAGTGTCCGTTTTGTAGCGTTGCTTGAGGGTGACTTACACACGCCACCGTGTTCCTGTTTGTTATGTCCGAGAGGCGCTTGTTGCTATTGATTTCTCTCTCTGTCTGTCCTCCCCTCCCCTACTCCTCCCGCCGGCCTCCACGCCCTTGTTCTCACACATTCATGCTCCGCGGAATTCTGATATTTGCAACGCAATTGGGGTTGTTGTGCTTGGTCCTTCAGTGATATAATAGCCTCTGAACAATCAAAGTAATTTCTTTTTTTCCCTAATGAGTGGGTAAGTGTGTGTATTTACTTTACTATTTGTATCTGCAGAATCGAGCTATTAGCTCTTGGACCCAGCCTTTCTAACTAATTTATTTTTCCTCTATTATGTCTACTACATATATTTCTCTCTTAACATGCGCGCGTACACATCCCTAGGAAGCAGCCCGTAGCAGCTGTCTAGCTCCCAGGTACCTATTTATTGCTAAGTGAACAGGGGCACCAGGGTGAAAGAAACTCTGCCCATATGTTTCTGCCTCTGCCGAGGATCTAACCCGGGCTCTTAGGACTACAACCCCAGAGCGCTGTCCACTCAGCCGTGAGGCCCCTGTGTGTGCGTGTGTGTGTGTGTGTGTGTGTATATATTACATTAATTAATAAGCCATTGTATTTTATTTGTATTGCACGCACGCACACGCACACACGCGCACGTAGAATCGTTCCTCTTATTGTTTGCTGATGATGCAAATATTATGAGGGGATTGAGACAGAGGAAGATAGTATGACACTACAATATGACCTACACAAACTAAATGAATGGTCCAACAAATGGCTACTAAAGTTCAACCCGAGTAAATGTAAGGTAATGAAACTAGACGGTGGAAACAGGAGGCCAGACACAGGATACCGAATGGGAGATGAAATCCTTCGTGAAACGGACAGAGAGAAAGATCTAGGAGTTGATATCACACTGAACCTGTCTCCTGAAGCCCACATAAAAATAATAACATCTGTGGTGTATGCAAGGCTGGGTAACATCAGAACTGCCTTCAGGAACCTGTGTAATGAATCATTCAGAACCTTCTATACCGCATATGTAAGACCAGTCTTGGTGTATGCAGCACCAGCATGGAGCCCGTACCTTGTCAAGCACAAGACGAAGTTGGAAAAGGTTCAAAGGTGTGCCACTAGACTAGTCCCAGAACTAAGAGGCATGAGTTACGAGGAAAGGCTGCGTGAGAGGCACCTCACGACACTGGAAGACAAGAGTAAAGGAAGACATGATCACTACCTACAAAATTCTCAAAGGAATTGACAGGGTAGATACGGATAAACTTTTTAACACGGGTGGTACGCGAACAAGGGGACACAGGTGGAGACTTGAGTACCCAAATGAGCCACAGGTATGTTAGAAAGAACTTTTTCAGTGTCAGAGTAGTTAACAAGTAGAATGCATTAGACAGTGATGTGGTGGAGGCTGACTCCATACACAGTTTCAAATGTAGATATGATAGAGCCCAGTAGGCTCAGGAACCTGTACACCAGTTGATTGACAGTTGAGAGGCGGGACCAAAGAGCCAAAGCTCAACCCCCGCAAGCACAATTAGGTGAGTACAATTAGGTAAGTACACACACACACACACACACACACACTGTGTTAAGAGGTAGGTGTGTGATACAGTTGAGAGGCGGGACCAAAGAGCCAGAGTTCAACCCCCGCAAGCACAACTAGGTGAGTACATACACATCAAAGAGATATCTTCTTATGCCAGGTAGGCCAAACTAAGAACGCCTTTTGGAAATTTGCGTAAGGAATTATTCAGAACCTTGTATAACACATATGTGAGACGAATCCTGGAGTATGCGGCTCCAGTGTGGACTCCGTATCTAGTCAACCGCAAGACGAAGCTAGAGAAAGTTCAGAGGTATGTCACCAGACTTGTCCTAGCAGTGAGAGGTATGAAATATGAGGAGAGACTACAGGAATTAAACCTTACGTCGTTGGAAAACAAAAGAGTTAGTGGAGACGTGATTGCCACAAACAAAATTTTCAGGGTAGATAAAGCCATATAACTTAGTAGGGTGACACTGAAAGAACTTTTTCAGTGTCAGAATAGTTAACAAATGGAATGCACTAGGAAGTTATGTGGTGGAGGCAGACTCCATACACAGTTTCATATATAGTTATGTTAATGAGCCCAAAAGGCTCAGTAACCCGTACACTAGGTAATTGGATATGGAGAGGTGTGACCTAAGAGTCGAAGCTCAAACACCCGCAAGCACAACTAGGTATAAATATATATTAGATATTTTATATATATATATATATATATATATATATATATATATATATATATATATATATATATATATATATATATATATATATATATATATATATATATATATATATATATATATATATATATATATATATGTGTGTGTGTGTAATTACCTAAGTGTAGTTACAGGATGAGAGCTACGCTCGTGGTGTCCCGTCTTCCCAACACTCTTTGTGTGTGTGGAAATCATGAAGAAATTAACACGTGATGAATAATGTGACAAGGTCTAACCAAATTGTAATTCAAAAAGACCTCAAGCCCTTGCGTTGCTGACAACATAGATCAATAACACATGTTGCAGGTCAATAGTAACATGTTGCTGATCAACGCTGCACATAATGCAGATGAATAGTTCATGTGGCAAGACCCCCTCCCCCCTCTCTCCCAGCAGTCCTTCAGGAACCTGCGGTGTTGTCACTGGACATGACCGGGACCTTCCCGTCGGAAGTCCCGCCCTCTACTCAAAGCCCCCCGCCTCCTCCCCTCTCTAAGACCCACCCACCCCTGCCCTAAAACCCACCCTCGCTTAAAGACCCGCCCCCCTCCCATGCTTGAAAGCATCCGCCAGTTCAGATTTAAGTTGTTGCAAGGCGTGGATATGCAACACACAAAGACGCCTCTACGTCTGGGTTCCCTTTACTAATATTAATGACACCGGTCGGCCGAGCGGACAGCACACTGGACTTGTGATCCTGTGGTCCTGGGTTCGATCCCAGGCGCCGGCGAGAAACAATGGGCAGAGTTTCTTTCACCCTGTGCCCCAGTTACCTAGCAGTAAAATAGGTACCTGGGTGTTAGTCAGCTGTCACGGGCTGCTTCCTGGGGGTGGAGGCCTGGTCGAGGACCGGGCCGCGGGGATACTAAAGCCCCGAAATCATCTCAAGATAACCTCAAGAAGATACCATTAATGATAGCGATAACGATCATATTAAATGTGATAAAAATTATAGTTCTGGCATTAATAATAAATATGAATAAATGATAGGCCTACTTAGAATGACAACAAATTGATATTAGACCAAAAACAAGGAACCTTCACCGTACACTCACTGGTACTAACGCAGGTGTGTGCCGGGGCCTCTCTGCTGCTGTGCCGTGACAGTACAGCAGCTGTAAGGCCTTCGGCAGCTGTGTCATGTTCTCCCAGCAGGTGGTGTGTAGGGGCTTTCTAGTGTCTGGTCCTGCTGGGTCCCTCCAGTAGCTGGTAGGTCATTCACCACCCGACCCGGCACCACCACCGCACCTGCACTGGCGACTGTGTGAGACTTTGATCATAGTCTCTCCCTCCCTCCTGCCGCGGCTACTGCAGGAGACTCTACAGCTGCTGTAAGTGGTCGCAGCTCATGACGTACTTATTGTTCAGAGGTGGTGACTTGGATTAGCGAGGGGCGGCAGTGGTGTGCCTGGCGGTGGTGCAGGGAGCCGGGGCGGGCAGGAGAGGTGCGTGCGGCACTGGCAGACACTGGGCTAAAACTGGCAGCGAGGGAGGTGGCACTGAGGGAGCCAGGCTCGTTGCTTCCTTCCTGCTCCCTCCGCCGCCCCATCTCCTACTTCCTCTCTCTCCCCCCCCCTTTTTAAAAGCTAAACTGAATTTCCTGTTTAGCTTTCTCGGAAATAAGATACTTTCTTTTCTTCTAATAATTTGTATGCAACGTCAGGTAGCGTCAGTAAGACGGTCCATTTCAAGGATTTGATGATGGAGGTGTTTCCTGCTTGACAAACGACAGATCAAAGCGAACCAAAAAAGTGATAAGATCAGAGGATGCTTTATCTCGTCTCGAGACGGGGACGAAGCTAGTTGAGCACATGTTGTGTCCGGTCCGCCCCGGCACACAACCCTCTGGGCGGCAGCGCAGGAATATCACACACACGACACAAAGTGTCTTAATTAGAGTATTGGGTGGACAGTAAACAAGCCGCCGGCAACACTCACCCGACACAACCCGCCGGGGGATAACATGTTATCAGTCTGCAGAAGTTCGGACGCCGCCACACCTGGAACGATAACACACACACACACACACACACACTCTCTCTCTCGATGCAGAATATTTACAATATTATTTTCCTTTCTCATTGTTTCGGCGGCCCGCTTCAGCCCGTGAGTTATGGACACCAGATACAGAGTCCTTGTGCATTTTTTGTTTTATTTTTTACCAAATAAAGAAGTTGTTGTGAGGGTTGGTGAGGTGGGGGCCTGGAGGAGGAGGAGAGAGGAGCCCGGCGCGGCGCGAGTTGCTCCTGTACGGAAATAACTGTGTTTACCATCTGGTGTGAGAGGTTATCCCGGGGCTTGCTGGAGGCGGGATTATCAAAGCTACTGGTCTAGGGATATTATCAAAATTACTGCTGGAAGAAATTTATTCCGGCTGTTGGTGGAGGCGGAGAGTGTCACCACAGTTACTGGCGCGGCTGGGCCCCGGGCCCCCGTGGTGTGGGCAGCCCATCCCAGCCACGCGCGTTACGGACGCACCTGGCATAATACGTCATCACTCGGCATGTGCGCATGAATGAACCCGTGCACATGAGTGAGCCCGTATGTGTGAGGGAACACGTGCGCATGTGGGCTCAGACGCATGATAACTGGGCCGCATGAGGGCCCGTGCTCTTGCGTGCTCGTGCTCATGAGGGCCCGTGCGCACGAGGGCGTATGTGGCTATGTGGTTAACTATTGCAGCATGGAGAGCCTGTAAGAGACGAGGTGACATGCCTTCCCTGGCTGTCTGTCCCTCCAAACTGTC